TCTCTCTCTTTTCCTGATCTCTCTCTCTGTCTCTTTCTCTCTCTCTGAGACTCTCTGTCTCTCTCTCTCTTCAAATGTACACAATCATCGGTGCAGAACTTCAACTCATTATGCTCTTCACACGCGTATCTTCTACTCATTATACTTTTCGGATTCGGATCACTCCGATACTGAACTCCAAGTGCGACTTGGAAGTAACTCTGACAGCGTCTTAGCACATTTCGACTCTCGTCCTCATACTTGAAATTGATTTCACTACTGGTTCGGATGTGTCCGGGTACAATGTGCCAGTGTATCCTAAATTCGTTACAAAATAGTACACACAATAATGTACAGTTTTAACAAATAACATGTTCATTACTTATTTCACGAATTTTTTTCAATCTGACGTTTCAATTTTTTTTTTTTGCTGAAATTCAAAATTTCGCAGCAGAAAAGTCCGAATTTTTTTTCGAAAAGTTTTGATTTCATCCCGCTACGAAAATTTCCGTTATTCCAATTTTTTTTTGAAATTCATTTTGCAATTCTGAAAATCTTTTTTGAACTTTGTTTTTCAATTCAAATTTTTTTTTCTGAAATTCGGTTTTCAATTTCCAAAAATTTTTGAATTTTGTTTTTCACTTCAGAAATTCGTCTTTCACTTCTGAAATTCGTTTTTCACTTCTGAAATTCGAAATTATTTCTGAAATTCGTTTTTCACTTTTGAAATGTGTTTTTTCACTTTTGAAATTATTTCTGAAATTCGTTCTTCAATTTCTGAAATTCATTTTTCATTTCCGTAATTATTTTTGAAAATCGTTTTTCATTTCCGAAATTATTCTTGAAATTCGTTTTTCACTTTCTGAAATTCGATTTTCAATTTAAAAAATTATTCCTGAAATTCGATTTTAAATTTTGAAAATTATTTCTTAAATTCATTTTTCAAGTTCCGAAATTATTTCTGAAATTCATTTTTTATTTTCGAAATTATTTTTGGAAATTGTTTTTCATTTCCGAAATTATTCTTGAATTTCGTTTTTCACTTTCTGAAATTCGATTTTGAATTTCGAAAATTATTTCTGAAATTCGATTTTGTTATTTCTGAAATTCTTTTTTCAAGTTCTTAAATTATTTATGAAATTTATTTTTCAACTCAAAAGTTTTTGGAATTTGTTTTTTTTATTCCAAAAATTCCTGAAATTCGTCTTTTTTTTCAATTTCGAAATTTTATTTTTCGGAAATTGTTCTTTATATTTCGGACATTGCTTTCCGGGAAACTCGTCTTAGAACGCTTGTTTTCAAAATGCGTATACTCTCACTTAATATATTCCGATTGTTTTTTGGAATTTCCTGGGCTTGCGAAAATCGACATTTTTTTTGCAAGTTCAACATTCCCGCTTCCTCAAGTTATTTTTTTGATTCATTGACAGCCTAAATTTCGAAAATATAAATTCGTTCAAATTGTTTGCTGAGGGGATATTTCGGGGGCCTACCGAGCTTGCAAATTCGAATTTTTTTTTCTATTTTCGATATTTTTTTTCTTGATTGGTGGCTCTATATCTGGGCGACCCATTTTGATTGCCCATCCCCCTTTCTCTCCACCCCAACCCTTCAACCCTTCTCCGTACTTCCTTCCTGACCATTCACCTGCAGTTGGAGGCCAGGTAAGTCCTCGCTTCAGCAGACCACGTCTGGGACCCGCCGCGCATGACCATACTTACTCGCTCGAAGACAACAGCGATGGATCAGAAGGCAGACGAGACTGACGAGGCCTACGAGGCACGATTGGCAGCCATCCTGGCCGACACCAAGCAACGGGCAGACGCAGCGGCAACGACACGAAAGAAGAAAGAAGCAGAGGCAGAGAAACTACGTCTTCAGGCTGAAGAACAACGACGAAAGCACGAGGCAGGAGCAGCCAGGGCCGCTGATAAGGAACTCGTACGGCGACGGGAGATCATATTCAGGGAGGAAAGTGCATTACATGCACAGGCCAAGGATTGGCAGAAGGAGGTCGAGAACCGTGATCCCGTTGACGTCGGGAGCAGAGTATCTCAGCTGCTCAACCGTGTCACGGACCTCCTCGCGACTTGCATCGCGCAGCAGGAGGATATCTACTCTCTTGACCACACCAACAAGGCGTTACAGCAGTCGCTGGACCAGACGCTAAAGCGCGTTCAACAGATGGAGCAGCGGGTCGCTAACGCAAATGCCAGCACAAGCCCCTCCAACCTCGCCGACCACGTCAACGTCTTGGAGATTGACGTGGGAACACTTAAGACTGGGGCACAGCAGCTGCAACAACAAGTTTGCGCAGTAGCCGGCCCTGGCACAACGATACGCAAAAACATTGTCAAGTTCGATGGGCTCCCGATCTTCTGTGACGCATCGAAGACCGACCCCATCGAATGGTGGCGCCAGCTTGAACTCAAGCTGGACATCCACCACGTCATCGACGCAAATCGGCATGCATATTTGTACTCCCGCTCATGAGGCGCGTGTCAGGCATGGTTGGACAACATGTTGTCCGCCCATGCATGTACAGTTACCGAGTTGCATAATTACATCTCGTGGGCAGATCTCACGGCGGCATGGAAAAAGTGTTTCCGAGTAGAACTGCCCGAGCACAAGGCGATGGACAAGCTGCTGACGTTTTCGCAGAACAACATGCCAAGCGGAGAGTGGATTTTCGAGTTCCAACGCCTCGCAAGCACGCCCAAGCTGTCGCTGAACTTCGACGACATCAAGCTCTATTTCATTAAGAGGTTGTGCCCGGCATTGCAGAATGCATTGACTCATGTCGCCGACACCCTCACTACAAGCGAGGAACTCTTCGACAAGGCCGCGCAGATCATTGTGCTGAATTTGGCAGCCCGGAATACGTGCCCTTCGTCAAATGCCGACGAGGGCGCACATCAACATTGGCTGAAGGTGGCCGTGGTCGCAGTGACAACGACTAGCGACCCTTCTACTTCAAACGAGGCTGTTTCGTCTGACGAGGGAGACAGACTCGCAGCTGCCCAGAATGGTGGCCGCCCCGCCAAAGGACGAGGATGCGGCAAGTCGAAGACCAACACCAATACTTCTTCTAGGCCTGGGCAAGCAACTCCAGCTCAAGGACCTTGGACAAAGTACGGGCTGACGGAGCACGGGTATCGCGTCTGCACCAAGTACTGTTATTGTTTGTGGTGCAGTTGCGCGGCCCATGAGACCGCGAACTGCCCAAGGGCCCCGCTTAGTCGGGAAAGTGAGCGTCGCCGAGAGTGTTGCGACGACACTCTCGACGCCTACGGAACCGGTTGCTGATCGGGTAACCTCCCTCGGTTTCGGCCCACATACGGACTCTTACAATGGATGAAGGTATGAATTTTCTCCCTAATTGTTTTCTGACTTTTTTTTTTTTTCCGAATTTTTCTGACTTCTTTGAGCACCTTAATTTACTGATGATTCTAATGATGGTAGCTAGGCTAGTACGATGTATATAAATCTGCATATATATATAACAATATAAATGTATATATATATATATATATATATATATTTGACGATATATATATATATATACATGTGGTATACAGGGGTATATCCTTCGTCAGGTTCTTCTGAGAATAGTGCTCACCTCCCCCTTTTTTTTCAAATCTGACATATGGGCCTTCGGGCGCAAAGTGAGCACTCTTTTTTAGCCCTTTGGTTACGATTTCGATTCCCATTGGTCCGTGGTTAAAACTAGTTGTACGGATACCGCTTCGAATGAAAGAACCGTCCCAGGCCCAACGTACGGACCTTGGTACTATTTAATCTGTCTCTTTGTATGATCATGCCCTCTTTTTTCTGCGGCCGAAGTTGGTTGCGGACAGCTTTGCCAATCCAACATGGTCCTTGGCGAGGCTATACGCATCCACCTTCGTGCTACTCCGCGCATTTCTAAGTGTTAGTGCGCTAACGATGCTGAAGTTTGTTGCCTTCGAGTACGTGCGACACATCGTGCTAGGCTCTGCGACTGTCTTCCATCCCTTCCTCCAAGTCTACCATGGCGTCCGCTTCATCCTCCCTTACGACGATGGTAATGAATCATATTTCCATGTGCCCCTCCACCCACCCCCCTCCTCCCCTCCCCCTCCTATTTTCACCCCTCTCGTCCATCTTATTTTCTGTCTTCTTCCTTCTCCCATTTCGAAACGAAAACCGAGGGGCACTTCCCCCCTCATGAGCCAGTTTTGTGGACGCTGGCAAAAAAGCTTTTGGGACTAGTCTACTCCCCCCTTTCTCTGCTTTCATCGAGACAATTGGGGTCGCTTGGCCGATTTGGGCGATACCTTCCTTCACTCCTCCTCTCTCACAAACCCTCCTCCATTCTAGTTACACCCCTGTCCCCGCCTTCTCCATTCGCCATGAATGATGAATGCCTAATGGGTTGTTTGATGCATTGTGTACCTAGTGTTTTGGATGCATGTGTCGATGTAGGAAATGCTTGCGGATTCGCGCCTTCATTAGATGGTCTGCCACTCCGAGCGGCTCATGGATTACCCGTCCTTCTGCTTAGGAGCAATCAAAGTCTTCTGTTTGCTACTTGCCACTCTTGCGTTCTTCAAGTTCGTTGATAATTTAGATCATCGTAGGGCTATATGCTGTGCTCCCGTGACATTGAATTCTTCCGCTATTTCTCCCCTGTCCAAGTGCCTTGTCAGAAGTTTTGCGACATGAGCTCCCACCATCGCTTCCCGGTTGCCCTTGCTGCTTGCCTGGCTTCTATGCTCCTTATCTTCGGTTTGATCATCGTTGTTCTTGTTTGCGGAGTTGGCGACGCTCTAACTTTTGTCCCCTCTCTTCAGTGCTCCCTCACGGAATCGTCGGCGTTTCCTATGCCAACCCACCCTCCCCTCCTGCTCTGCATCGCTATCGTTGCCTTGTTTTTCGCCTTCATTCTTACCCTTGTGATGATTAGGAAGGAGGAGGTGGATCACATGGCTGTGTATTTCCTCTACCCTCCATAGCTCTATTCGACGGGTGGTAGGCAACGGATCTCAACCTCGAGATCGTTCTCATCGAGCACCCTATTTGCTGTAATTTGCAGGGTTGCTCGTGCATGGTATGAGACATTGGGAGTATAATAGTTTCTTTTGCGAAGGGTAGATATGCTTTAGGTGGACCTCTTGTATGTACGGGAGTCACTGAGTTCTTGATAGTGGTGCAGGATTCGATTTATCTAGTTAATGTATGTTTATCTTGATAGGTTTTCCCTCTACTAAGAGTATGCATGGATTGCCCTAACTGCCTATTTGGGGGAATAATGGTGTGGGCACTTTTGCATGTGCTACTGTCTATGCCTGTAGATCCATGTTGTGTTTCGATGGTCCGACTTTCTTGCACACACCGATGCGAGAATTTAGCGTGGTATAGTTGGTAGGCCAAATCTGTATTCAGGCAAGCGTGATAGGCAGTTTTGAGGTGGGGGATAAGTATAACATCGGTTGGGTCTTAAAGTTGTGGGGTATGAGCCACGTGTAGAAGCGAATTTTTTATTACGAGTGGGATCTTTTTCGGAATTATCCTCGACTGCGTTGGTAGGCCATGTCCTCAATTAGGCGGCAGGATAGGTGGTCTGAAACTAGGGTGTGGTATAGCATCAACGGGTTCTTGGAGTGATGAGGTGTAGTCCATGACTGTTTGAAAAAAAAAAAATTCGAATGGATTTCATGGAATTATCCTCGGCTGTGTGAAAAGTTATCTGTCTGCTGTGTGATGTGGATATGTATATCTTACTACTTTCGTTTCTTTGCTTGTTTTTGGTGAATACTCCCATCAAAAAAAAAAAAAAAATTCAGCGTATCCTTCACACATGTTGTGGCTCACTTTGGGCCTTCGGAAAACTATGAACCTTGCCTCCCCCATATAAACTCTATTCTGCTCGTTCCTCTCTCCTACCTCTTCTCATCCATGGCTGGTTTCGACAAGTGAGAATCTACCCCTTTTCTAAGTTAAGGTTGGGTGTATATATATATAAATTTATATGTATATACGTATATGTTTGTATAGGTATGTATATGTGCATTTGTATACATATATTTTCTGCTTCATCATGACTTCTGCGATGATTTGGGTAAAACCTCGATTCCCCCTATATGTTGGGGTTACGATGAGATTTGTTGGACGCGCATTTGGTGGTCGTGAGGTGCAAATACTACTCGAAGAATATGCATTTGAAGTGTTGTGTCAGTATGTAAACTTGGCTTGCCTCATTTTAGGATGAGGTGGACTCATCTCACTACACACACACACGAATGGATTCAATCCTCCCGGTTTGCCATTGAGGGAGTCGATTCCCCCTCGTCAAGACTGAAGTAAAACCTGACACCAGGACAAATGCATTCCGATGTTTTGCCAATCTATGATAATCCAAGGAAGTCCGTATAATGAATCATGCTGTCGATTTTCCTCGTTTGTGGGGATTTTTCTCACATTCCTCGTTGTCTTTGGTTGTTGCAGAAACCTTCCTTCACCCGGAATGGCTGGTATGATGTTGTTGTACGAGGCGACCTCGCTTGGTTGGATGACTCAAAGCTCCCTCCTGCCCTGCGCAAGCCCTCATCTCTACTGCTGGCCCGAGAGTTATGGAATACGTTAGGGCAAATTCCTTGCACGTCCCACCCGCATTCCCTCCGCTTATATCTGTCCTATCCTTCGATGATTGGGCTGACATCCTGTGATGTTCCACGTACGATAGGGACAACTTCCCGGAGCTGTCTAGAGCTTTAGTTGAGAATGAGCGGTATGTTCTTCTCGATGACCAGTTGACTAACTCCTCCATATTGGATGACATCGCCATGAAGGAGAGGGTCTTCACGGATCTTTGGGGGGTAAAGTCTGCCTTCCATGACAGACTGCTCACTGTCCCGATCCAAGAGCAAAACCAACCTAGATCTGACTCGGAAGAGGAGCTGGATCTTACGGAGGAAGAGAGACTCTTTCACCATAAGTTTGTTTTAGAGTCTTAAGGAACAACTGGTGTTGGACATGACCAGGTCAAAGACGAAGCACGTAAGTAAGTACCATCGAAATGCTTTCTTGCCTCTTCTCCCCTCCAGGTATGTAGAATCTGAGTCAATCGAGATTGACTACAAGTTATGGGACTTGAATACTTTCAACCATCTAGTCTCTATTAACTCTAATGCTTATAGGTTTTTGGCTTTCCTCTCCATGGCGGAGATCGATCTGTGTGATGACAATGCCCTGGCCGACAACACCGATCTGATCAAAGGACTCTACACTTTGACAGCCGACGCCATAAAACTTCCCGCGGTTGGTGCTTTCGACCCCCTCAAGTGCACGGAGTCCACGTGTACTTTAGTGATCCCTGACTTTTGTACCCCAAAAGGTGCGGAAACTTTCCCTGAGCTCAAGAGGATATGGAATGTAGGCAGGCAGTATCTAAAATGCCGATGCCTAGAGATGAAAAAGAAGGATTGCAAGGCCAACATCACATGGTTCGACCATGTTCTTTGGTACTTGCTTGCCAACCTCGAGGTCCTGTTTCCAGCTGCACCCACAGTGCCCACACTAAGAGCTCGGATGAGAGTTATGAGAAACTTCATGAAAACTACATGGAGAACCCCGGTTTCATCTTCTGTTGTTTTCTTACAGATGCGCTTCATCATGCAGCGAATGACATGCGCCATCATCGACAACCCAACGAGAAGGCAAGAGACCATCCTTGATGATCAATCTCTCATGGTGAGGAAATTCCGGAGGAAGATGGTGAGTCTTATGCTCCCCGACAAGTATCTAAGGAGTCCCTTCAAGATCTCGAGGAAGAGGGTCAGGGAAGAGAAACAACACAAGCCTCAGTCCAATACTATTTTATTATATTATGTGAGGCTTGATACTACGGGGTCGGACAACTGACGCTTGGAAACCGTCGGGAGTGGTGTGTGCCATGCCGCTCTGGGCAGTCCTCCTTCATCCACCATCACCATTCACATGGACACGGCGAACTCGGCCTCAGTGAAGTACCTCAGAAGGAGCCCTAGGAATAGAGTGACTGTAAGGATCTTACTATTTTCCTCTTAGAACTCACTAGGTCTCTATGTGGTGTCTATTGAGAAGGTACTTGAAGGGAATGTCTCACTGGATGAATATGGGAGGAAGAAATGGGGTGGAGCTCAGTCAGCCAGAGCTGAATTCCATATCCATGTGAAGTACGCCAATAGGGCTATGGAAGGATTTGATTTTAGGGGGTATCTACTCTCGGTCATTGGACTCGGTTCTCTATAAACCAGCCTGTGTCTTCAGGGATTTTGCTTTGCATGAATGGTTATCTTTTTGTGCTCAAACCCTGTCACGTCCTTGCTCCGCTCGGAGGT